TCAGTGTTATTCTTCCGTCTTGAAATGTTGTAGGTGTACATAAAGTATGCGTATGACACTCTTATATTGGAAAAGTTGTATTCGGCCCGACTGGCGTGTCTGCAGACGTCGCGTTTGTCATTTATTTTAAAATGTATAAACATGTCTCCGACCGACCAAAAATCGTGACCAGAATGACTATAGTTCGTTAAAAATCTGGCTGCATTAACAACGGTTTACTTCTAGTCTCTGACATCATGACACATTATAATAATATAATTGCAGCAGGTATCTGTATAAAATTATTACAAAACGTCTAATCTAATACATACAGATTTTGATAGTTACATTGTTTTATTTCCGACGGATTTTGGTCGGTTGAACTATCGTTTACGCCTATCTGATTATGCTGACGCCATTATAATAGTTATGTAAAACATTATTGTGCACAGRCAATTGTAAGACATACTATAACTTCCATATACCAACACCGAATGAAACTTAATATGATATGCAGACTSTCTTATGGATTCACGATAATGCGATTCGTATGAGAGAAACGAACCAAAAGTTTTTAGATTTTATGAAAATGAACAAAAATCATCTATTGTGGTGTCACGGTAAACGGCTACAACGCTCCCTCCGTTTTAATATACGATGGGYATAATAATATTTTTGGGAACGTTCAGACCTCATCTGAATAATAATATTTAGAATAAAATAGTACGTACCAGTGACAAAATCAGTGGTGGATTTAAGAAATGAAGGGAGAACAAGTGGGTCGCGGTGGCCTCCCTCCCTTGGTATTTTTTTCACTTTACTTAAAGATTTATTTATTTTTTACTTGATTTAATTTTTAGATACTTGTATCCCTCTATTTCAAAGTGTATAACTCCCACCCTTCCATAGTGAGTTAGATAGGTAGATATTTTAGATGAGTAGCTCTCCAAAGCTGCCTTTCTGGCAGATACATATTAGCGTACGCTAAGGAAAGTCTACCAGATCGTGAGAGCACGTCCAACAGATGCTTATT